ATGTGGTATACTGCATCCGCTGTTCCCGTTGTGGCCTCCTCTACATCGGGGAAACCAAGCGGAGGCTTGGGGACCGCTTTGCAGAACACCTACGCTCGCTTTGCACGAAACAACTGCACCTCCCAGTCGCAAACCGTTTCAAGTCCGCCTCCCATTCCTCAGATGACATGTCCATCCTGGGCCTCCTGCAGTGCCACAACGATGCTACGCGAAGGTTGCAGGAACAGAAACTCATATTCTGCTTGGGATCCCTGCAGCCCAATGGTATCAGTGCGGACTTCACAAGCTTCAAAATCTCCCCTCCCCCTACCGCATCCCAAAATCAGCCCAGCTGGTCCCCGCCTCCCTAACCTGTCCTTCCTCCCACCTATCCCCTCCTCCCACTGCAAGCCCCACCCCCATCTCCTACCTACTAACCTCATCCCGCCCCCTTGACCTGTCCGGCCTCCCTGGACTGACCTATCTCCTCCCTAACTCCCCACCTACACTCACTTTTACTGGTTCCATCCCCGGCTCTTTGACCTGTCTGTCTCCTCTCCACCTATCTTCTCCTCAATCCATCTTCTATCTGCCTCCCCCTCTCTCCCTATTTATTTCAGAACCCCCTTCCCCTCCATTTCTGAAGAAGGGTCTAGGCCCGAAACGTCAGCCTTCCTGCTCCTCTGATGCTGCTTGGCCTGCTGTGTTCATCCAGCTCTACACCTTGTTATCTCAGATTCTCCAGCATCTGCAGTTCCTACTATCTCTGAAACAATTTATTTATCTCATTCTGACAGTGAACAAATTAACTAAATTATTAACAGACCAAATAAGCTCCTTCTAACTACTAACTATTCCTGAATAAAACAAGATTCTAATGCTGTTCCAATGCATACAAGTCCCACTTGTATATAAAATAAAGTAGAATTTAGTCTCTCGAAATTACAGCCAGGTTATGTGTCTTCCAGAATGCTCTCTACCTTCTCTATCGATTCTTCAGACAGAAATATTCACTAGTTGTGCTGTGGGTACCTTTGTTCTTTAGATGGTGCTTTCTCTAAGACTTCGAGGAGACTGTGGGAAGCAGCGATTCTCTCTTGCAAGCTGAGGGCTGTTAACTCTGGCAGATGGCAGTCAGCTCTCCTATTTTGTCCAACTGCCCCCTTTTTTATACCCTTGATGATGCATCAATATTTCTTACAATAGGATTGGTCCTATCTTGTCAAAGCCATCAGATTTAAATTTAATTGGTCTTTGGTATCTAAGTGCCTGGTTAAGATTGATTGGCTAATTTCAGAACACATTGTCTTGGTAAAAACTGCTGTTTGGCCTGCTAACTGTACAGCCTTTTAATACACATGTTTCAATTTGAGTGCTCTCTGTGTACTTGCAGACTTTCAAGCTGCTGCTCACAGACATCCATTTAATCTCTAAGCATAGAAAAAGCATATCATCTTTTTAAGGGACCACACAATGCTTTCCCCACTAACATTTCATAAATACCAAATTGTAACTTCCTGCCTTCCAATCCACAAGTACTCTACCCAACCTCGCAACACAACATTTAAAACACATTTGGACAGGTACACGAATAGGACAGGTTTAGCGTGATATGGGCCAAATGCAGGCGAGTGGTACTAGTTTAGTTTGGGAAGTTTGGTTGGCATGGACATGTTGGACTGAAGGGTCTGTTTCTGTGCTCAATGACTCTATTTCTATAAGTTATAGAGCCATTGATCTAAATGATGCACCATGTTTGTTCATTGGATGAATACTCCATGTGGTGTGATGCAAAAATGTTAGAGAATTTCTTCTAATACGCGAATAACTGGACTGCAGCTGTCAGACTTCGAGGTAAAGAGAACTTTTTATTCATGATATCACGGAGAGTCAATGCTAACAAAGGTTAGATACCAAAGACCCTGCAGAAATGTAGAGTTACAGAATATTTATAGAGAGAGACAAACAAGTCAACGTGACAGATAACAGTGATTTCATAGTCCAAAGCTTAAAGTTCTCCAGAAATTGCACCGTCTTCCTGAGCTGCAGGCTTTATTCT